AATCTTGGAGAGCAATGTGAGATCCCTGCAAATTTTCTGTAGCCATCAGTGGACTGGAGTGCTCCAGTCACGGGCAAGAGCTTCAGCCCAGCTTTGCAAAAGGTGGACTTAGCATGGCTCAGCACCATCCTGGGAGCGAGAAGGGGGAACTGATGAGAGAAATGTTAACACTGCCTAACTGTAGACAATAAATTCAGCTCCTGAATGAAGAGTGTGATTCACAATTGCTGTATACAACTGGAGACAGACAGTCTCCTCCGTAGTGTGACTCAGAATGACCTCTGGAACCTACAGATGCTCCAATGGAGGCTACGTCTATTAATTTTACAGTAAATACAAATGAATATTCAAGGTATTATGAATACTTCTTCCTGAAAAGCTTCAAATTTGATGCTCAAAGTCTTGAAAAAATTTTGACTGCAATGTTTTTGCTAGAGACTCAAGATCCAGTGTTTGCAGAGCCCATTACACAACTTCTTGGTTGTGTTACACAGCCAGCAATGTTTCACTGTCTAAACTGTTCAAAGCCTCCTGCAGAGTTATTACTATCTTTTGCATTATAAGAGTAGAGTTGTTTTTCCATTAGTGCAATAGCAAAAATACAGAATTCTTTGGGAAATTCTTCACCCCCCAACTGCTAAAGGGATAACCAAACAAGCAAATCTCCCTTCCTCTTCTGTCCCACCCCAAAACAACTTGTGCTATTAATACTACTATGGTGGAAAATCCAAGCTGAAATTTAGCTTTGAACTCTGTTTTACCAAATTAGTGCTGCAGCTTCTTCCTTCTTGCTGTTCCTGCTAAGAATTGCTACATTCCAGCATCAAAGACAGTTTACATGGAGCTGTACATGGATGGAGTTGTTACATGTGCACGTGTGTGTATTTTTCTACGTAAAAATGTAAGCAATGAACTGTGTCAGACAGCTTGATGCCTGAAACTCATGGATGAAGCAGTGTTTTTAATAAGTACTGGTATTTTCAGAAAAGTTTCACTCAAGGATGGTGCACCTCTCTGAATGAGGTAATATAAATACCGTGTAAAAGAGGAGAAGCTCACAACTGAGAGTTCATACTAAATCCTGGGTTTTTAATATGTCTCTCATGAGCAGTGAATGAGGATGGAAGTAGCTGAGCTCTCTGTTGAGCTGTGGGGCCAAACTTCATCCTGACATCCTGTATATCCATGGTGCTCTGCACCCCACCAACTTATTCTGAAGAGGGGAATTAATTCTGTGGGTCTAATGGGGCTGGCATTTGGCTCTCCTCTTTGTCCAGCCTTTGTGGATCTGTTTCACAAGAGCCCTTCCCTCGCAGCACAGGCAGAGCTGCACGCCCTGGTCCTAAGTGCACGTCCTTATCAGAATATATGGCACTGCATTATGCTGCATGTTCATGGTTTGAAACACTGGCTGATAATGTGGCCATAGTCAAACAAAATGCTGCATGCAACAGCAACCATTTCATTTGTTTTAGAGAAAGAATATGACATCAGAAAGAAAGAGATATATGCTTAGCTACATGTGATTGGAAGAAGTCAAATAACTGAAATGATGTAAGCATTAAGATATATTTTCCTGATAGCGACCCACTTTCATATATTACCTATTTATTTTTCTCTGGTATCTTAGTGGGACTTGAAACATATTAGATGTATTTTTTTTTCCAGTATGTATTTAGTGCATTGCTGGAAACAAAATTTCTCATTCTTTCTGGTTATATTATTCTCACAAATAGCAGTAGGAGAAGTGATATTTTAAATGGGTTCTTGTGGAATTAAATAGAAGAATGTTTACAGAAATTAGCTTTATTAGTGCCTAGAGTGGTTGAAGTTTGAACTTTTTCAGTCTGCATTTAGAAATATTAGATACTGATTCCGAGCAAAATACACATTTCTAGAGTTTTCCTTTTCTAAAATGCTGCTGTGAGTGGAATGGTCCCTCAGAGCTTTGAAAATGGACTTCCTGAAAGGAAATACTTGATCAAACAGAAAGGGTTGAGGCTGTGCAGGTACTCTGTGTTGTATAATAACTCTTTATTTTTCTCCCTGTAATTTTTCTTCTATGATTATTTTCAGAGCTGTACTAACTCAGATGACAACTTTCCTTACATTTGTATTGTACATTTGCAGGAAAACTGCAGTGGCAGAGGGTGGCTGAATGATGCAGAAGGAGACTTTCAGGGATAGTGCAGTCCCTCCTGTTGCTCTGATACACAAGGAGTTAATTGTGACTGTCCCCTCCACAGTGTGATCTGTGCACAAATAAACGCAAAAATCAGGTGTTTCCCCTCCCCGTGAATGTGAATGTGCTCTTTTAACAAACAGACCACGTCCTCATTTAATCCATGACACTAAGACAATGCAATAAGAAATACTAGAGCTAGTATTTAACTTGTAAGGCCCCCCTTTTCTCCCTTAAATTAGCCTTCTCTTTTCTGAAAATGCTTGTTTGTTTTCCAAGTGAAGAGGAGAGGGAGAGATAAGAAAGAGGGCACTTCATTTGAAAACTAAATTATCTAGTTTGGAGTTACAAAATGTGACCTATCAGGAACTCTGTTTGGAAAACTCAAAGCTGGTGAAGGTAGAAAGTTCAAATGCAGCATTTCAAAAGCCAGTGTACTTGAGAGAAAAAATACTGCTTAGTGTGGAAGCTAGGTAGCTTGCTCTAATTTAGGCTTAGATTTCTCTCTTTTCTTAACACTACTTCAGAAACCCATTTTCTGTGTACATTTACCATGAATATTTCTTATAAGGGAATGCATCCATTGAAATCACATTAAGTGTTTTAGTTATCCTTAGGGCATTTGACAAAGCAGATTTTGTAATTGAGAGGTAGTTGGTTACACTATGTACAGTGTACAAGGGTTTAAGGGCTTGTTTCTCTGCTGGCTTGAAATGTGATTAGTGGTGGAGGGAACAATTATTTCAACAGTTTTTCATGCAAGGAAGTGAAGACCCATGTGTTTACCTTGAGCCCCGGACTCTTTTTTGCTGCATTATTTCATTTTAGTGCTTCTGACACACACATGTGTGTATTAAATAGGCAGAATTCTTTAAACTCTCAGAATTACCAACAGTGCTGCTGTTAGTGATGTCCACAGCAAACCTTATTTGGCTGCTGTTGTGAGAAGGAAACAAGGGAGTGTTACTGCTGAAGAGATCCCTTGGAAACCCTAATTTTCAATACATTCCACATTTCTTTCCACCCAATCCTGGTTACTTCCCCAAGCCATCATTTTTCATTCTAAACTCCATTTCCCATTCCTTTTAAGTCAATAGCTTGACTTTATCTTACTGTTTTCTTTACAAATGTTAAGACCACACACTGAGCTCTGCTAACACATTGTATTATGCTACTGGTAGACAAATTTTAACATCACATCACATACATGTTGCAGTTGCTGTTGTCACATGCCTTTTAAAAAATACTTTATTGGATGAAATTGTCTCTTTCTCAAGAAAAAATCTGGTTCTTCAATATAATTTATTATGCCTTTTAAAATTCTGTCTGTTCAATAAAATCTTTGCTCTATTATAAATACCTGTAACGAAAATATAATTTAAAATTCTGAGAGAAAACTTTTTTTTTTTTACTTTTACATTTTTCACAAAACCCACACAGGCACCAAGGAAAGACTAACAATAAAAATAATTTACTCCTGTACAAGCTGATCTGGGTTGGAAACATTCAAAAGAGAGATTTTAAACTTGCTGTCTGTTGAAACTTTGGCTACAGCATAGGAACTGATCTTAAAACAAAGGAGGGTCTTTTGTTTCCCACCCTTTTAACCTGAACATTTCTTTCAAGGCCTGATGGAGTGTTGTTAGTACTTTCCTCACTGTAATATACCTGAATGAGGACTGGCTAAATTTGTTGTTATCTGAGGGAACCAGCCACTAAGCTTCATTGCACAGGACTGAAAGTGGCCCTTACCTTGCCATAGGAGTCTCTCCTGAAAATTAAACATTAGTGAAAATAAGTGCTCTCATTCTGTAATAGCAGCAATTAGAAATTTTCATGGTTTGCTTGTTCATTAGTTATGCATTGCCAGAAAGCTTTTGCATGGAAAGGACAGCTAAGGGAAAGCTTTCTAATCTGGACCACTTGCAGGATTTTTTTTTTTTTAATGACTTCTCTTCCTAAGCAAATTTCTTAGTAGAGAGGGAGCGATTCAGTAGAAGCAGCATTCAATAGCAGAGATATTATCCTTCAACTGCTGACTAGAAGAATATTAAAGAGTCCTTAAAACTGGCAAAAAGGCAGGCTAAGACCAAGATAGCCATGAAGCCACCATAAAGAATGTTTTTTAAATCTTATGTTTGGTAAAAAATTTTCAAGGTTGTCTTTGGAGAAGTCCTTTTTTTCCACAGAATTCTTAATTAGTTACAGTAAATAGGTTTACCTTTAAATTACAGGATTTGGTGTCAAGTTTGAAAAACTTTTATTTGAACTGCTGGATTATGAGCAAAATGTAAAATTCCTGTCTTAGTGACACTTGCATAATTTTAAGGAATAGACAGTGAAAAAGAATCTAATCAAATATTTCTAGAGAGTCTGCAAAACACATTTCAATAGTAGGCAAGAGGACAAAAAGTAAAAAGGCAGACAGCACTTTTTTGGGCTTTCTTTAGCACTTCAATGAGATAACTATCCCCTGGTAATCTTCATTTCCTTGTTCTAGATCCCCTAGCTTTTCTGACCATCCAACATGGCTTTTTATTTTTTAATTATTAGAAACAAAATAATATATAATTTTGACTCTCGTTAAAGAGGTATGTGTGGAAAACTGCTAATTTAGGGAGTTGCTCACCCTAGTTGCTTTCTGACAGCCACCTCTGCCTCAACTTCTTCTTCCCTCTCCACAATCCATGCTCATTGTTCCCAGGGTACTTTTTTTCTTTTTCTTTTTCTTTTTCTTTTTCTTTTTCTTTTTCTTTTTCTTTTTCTTTTTCTTTTTCTTTTTCTTTTTCTTTTTTTTTTAATCTCAGACAATTTTGCCTTGGGTGGACTTTTCTGCAACAGCTAGCCTCTCTGTTCCACTTGGCCTGGCTATTTGCAGATGTAGGCATCTCAGAAAGCAGCTTTGTACTAATTTTGAGACCTGACTGAGGCTCCACAGGTAGGAGGTTGGAGCCCAAAGCTCATATATTTGACACAAATAGATCAAGTACTCCATCAGGTGACTCATAACTGGTGAAGGGAAAGCCAAGTGCTCTGAAGTGAGACCCTGTCCTCGTTAAACCCGTAGGGCCTAGAAAGACCAGGCTCAGAATTCAGGCACTTCACTTGGGTAAGTTCCAAGTCTGCCGGAGAGAATTCCATCCCATGGTCTGGGATGCCTCAGTGGGGGTTCTTTTTTATTAGCGTGTTTCTGTCTGTAGTCTAGATTGTGAATAACTTCATCAGTGTTCACTGATGCCCCAGTCCAACCCCAGCCTCCCAGATGTTCCTCTACAGGAGAAGAGAAGGGCAAGGGAGCATTGTTTGGAGAAGGAACAAAACACCTATGGACGGAAGCAGTACTGGCTGCAAGTATTAAATCGGAATAAATGACAAGTATAACAAAGACTGCAATATTCATGACAAATCCATGGATGAGAATATATCCCCATAGCTTTGGCAGTTTGGTTCAAAACTGCTTGGTAATTCAGGTAATTCATCCTACTGCATGCTTAAGTGAAGAGGGTGAAAGAATAAGTAATGTGAAAATTGTTTAAAATAGAGTATTAGGGTTTTCAGGGGAGTACTATTGCATTTTATGCCTGAGGGGGCAAATCTACTCTGAAGAAAGATTTTGAAAAAGGATAATACTAAAAAGTGTAATTTTGCTATCTTATCCCCTCACACCCGTTTTTTCCCTTCCTTGATATTTGTATTAAATATGAAGCAATCAAAGCAGCAATCACACAACTAGAGCATACACAGACTTTGGAAAAAAAACTACAGGTGGGGAGAACGAATATTTCCAACTCAGTGCCATACCCTACAGTTAATTTCCTTCATTTATGATATCAACCAATGCTTGCAGCAGTCTATCATCTCTATGCTTGTAAGGTTTGGCATTGTAAAAAAGATCAACGTAGTCACTGTACAGACTTTCTTCTGAGCCTCTTAACTGGGAGGGCTTGTTCAATTTTTTGAGGGCTTGATAGAAGTGTTCGTATGGAATGTTTAACTTCTCACTTGCGGTCTTCTTCGGCAGCTGCTTCTGATCCATCTGTCTGCTAAAAGCACTTTGCAGTAAATGCAGCATGGCTTCTGATGGGATTTTATCTTCTGCTTTGTCACTGCTGCTGCTGGTGTCTTCTGTGGCCTTGGGTTTTTCACTCAGGCTCTCCAGTGTGGTATGGTCCTAGAATACAGATTAGCATGAAAAAAGGTCAGGTGTCAATGAAAGACTGACTGGATTAAGGCTTGCTCTGGTTGGTGGTCTCCACCTAAGTGTGGGAAAAATTTGTTATTTTTTTTCATTCAGGAACCACTTGGGCATCTAGAAAACAAACAGACCATTGTCAACCAAAACAAGCTTTTGATAGGACTACACTGTATAAGATATCAAATCCTCCTACAATATAGGTATTTATAAATTCAGATTCCACACTGGAAGGAGACAACACCTCATTTTATAGCAGTATTTGTCCGTCTTAAGAGATAATTCTGGTTATGTCACGAGACACAGCACTCTAAATGAAGGAAACATATATGCAGTGGTGGTGGCAGTTCTGATTGTGCCTTGCGCTCTCAGGAAAAGGATGGAACCAGTGTTTCCACAAAACCTTCTCTGTAGATGATCTCTACCTGAGAAAAAGACGGTCTAGTATGGCTAATTGGTGGTCATAACACCTTCCTAGGAGCCTTTGGAAGACTCAGCCCCATTATAGGTTCACAGAGCAGTTGGTGAGAGGCATGGTCTTATATCAACGCTAGTATATGCCTGCAGAGCTTCCTCATTCAACCTAGAGCTGTATTTCTAACTGAACACTCATTTTGTCTTCATGTAATTTTTACCACGTTCACCCATTTTCTCCTACAGCCCCTGCTGAATCCACTTTCACTTTCTTCCCATTTGTTTTCTTGCCCTTGGCTGCCAGACCTGGGGACATTTATGTAATGGATTTAGAGGCCATTATCACACCCACCTTTCATAACCTGTCTGAGGAAGGTTAAACTATCTGTGCTTTATGGATGTCCTAATTACTTAATGGGGAGACAATTGGATGTGATGAGATTATTTTCTGATGCTGTTGACGCATTCAAGCACTATGAAAATGTGCATTACTACCATCCTGTGCATCCTGAAACCCAGGGTCACCCTGCCTTGTCGTATTTTTAGAGCACTGTAGGGTAAACAGGGGTGCTAAAACATCGGGCAGCAACAGGTCCACTGAGCCAAACCTTTTGAATTGGCAAGTCCCTGACTTTTGTCAAGCCCTTTGCTCCTGAAATTCCTTGCAAACTCACTGGAAACACTCCAGCAGGCAAAGTTCCTTGAGAATGTGACATGTGTTCTCAGTAGAATTATATAAATTTAGTGTGTCTGTCAGAGGTGTCTTCCTCCCTCCTTCCACCACTCAGCTGCATTAGCCACAGAGTTCCTTTCTGTAGGAGCAATTTCCTGTTATCATCTTAAACCCCTTAGATTTTGCAATTTGAAACAGAGAGACTAATAAAAATATCAGTTGTTGACATGGGCAAAATTATGATATACACTCAAAACAAATCAGGAGTTAGATGAAATGAATACAAAATAAAAATGTGTCTTCTTACTAGGAAAACACAACAAAACAAAACAAAAAACAAACAAACAAACAAAATCCAAAAAACCAAAAACAAACAAACAAACAAAAAACAAAAAATCCCCAACATTTTTTTATAAACTAAAAAGCACATAAGTAATAAATGTTACATAACCCTACCTCTACAATATCCGTCATCTTCTCCACTCCTCTTCTATCATTCTGCACAGCATTGTAGGATGTATACACACGTGGCTGCTTCATGTGTTCAGGCTGGGTAGCAGTGCCATGCAAAATCAATTTCCAGTTTACAATCCTCCCCTCATTTTGTATTCGCCTGGACTGAAAAACAAGCGTGGCATCAGAATAGGCTCTCAGGACACAGAAGAGCAAAATAGACACTTGAATGCAAAGTACACAAAAGCGACCAAAGCAAATTATCAGGCTTTCAATACCTACCTAAAGAGTATGATTCATAAGCATAAAAACCCCAGATGTAGTAGAGACAGAGTATATTAGAGTGTGGGATTTAATACAATAGCTTACACACTCAAAATATCCACATTTTGATGTAACATAATTATTAATTCATCATGTAAGCATCAATAGAATTTTGTCATAACACAGAATGCTAGAAGTTACTGAAGTAGTATTTTGCATTATTAGAACTTGTTCACTAGGCCATTCCTTGGTAACTTCCTTATATGTGAAATGCAATTCTTTGTTATTATGTGGTGTATAACAGCAATCTGAAATACAGTGTGTGGAAGCAAACAGCAAATGTTTATTTATAAATTTTGGTGGCAGTAGAAGTAGTAGTGGAAGTAGGAAGTGGAAGAGACAAGTAAAGAAAAAACAAGGTGAGGAAAGAGTGTATTACACCTTGAGGACGAAAATCTTGCTTTATTGTAAGCTTCAGGAAGTTCTCACTTGAAATGAGAGCTAATTTACAAACAAAATGCTCTTCTTACCTTTGTTCCACAAAAATGCATTCAAAGAGCAGGATATCTGTAACCATGGGGCTATCTATAAGCCTGCAGCATTAACACTACACTGCTGATAGTAATATTTACTCCTGCTCAGCTCTTGGCAAAACCCTCCTATGGCAAAACCCTCCTGTTTACAATTTGAGGCCAGTAGGGGCTGAAAGCTCAGTGGCTAACAGGAAGCTTTCAGTTTTTGGCAAGATCTGACCCCTAAGGACAAGCTTATGAACAGACAACTTCAATGAGATGAGTGAGCTTGATCACTCTCTCTTTGAAGGAAATTATTTTTCAGTTGCCCACCAAGCAGCTTAGTTCTGGTGTCTTGCTGCTGCAATCCATATCCCCAGGTGGCTTTAGTAAACTGATTTATTTCATATCTGTAGACTACTTAGCTTTAATTCTTAAATGTTGTTCAGCACTAGATACTCTCAGCAAGAAATTAGGGAAATGTATACATGAGAATAAGTCCCTGAGATCCTCCAAAAATCATTAATTCAAAAGGTTCTCAGTTAATGAAAACTATGCACATGGACCAAGAGAAGACTAGATCCATGCTGTGCTGTTTTCTGCAAAAAAGAATTTCCAGTTGACCATATGTTCCTTTTATTTCATGTTTCAATCCAAGAATCAAAGAAAACTTCATCAAGTGATTAATTTTGGTGACTTGCATCTGAAATAAACAGGCATGAATTTTTTTTTCACAGGTACAGGCCAGTGGAACAAGAATGGTGCTTTGCGTGTAGGTAAAGAACAAGAAAATCTGACCCTACCTTTTTTCTTTAGTCCTTAACCCAGCTGGATATCTTAAATAACCTCTCATTTGGCTTGCTTAATGAGCAGGCTCATTACTCAACATGCTTTGTAGTGATGAGTGAGCATTTAATCTGTGTTAGCTCCCAAACACAGCCAGTTAGCATACAGGCATACTCACCATATCAGTAATTCTTAAAATCCAGGTGCCTGCTGGATTTTCCCCCCAGGTGTGGACAGACATGAAGTCCCAGTTCTTGAAGCCATTGGGAGACTTGTCCCTCTCTCTCTCAGCCAGTAGGACAGTGCTGGTCCCTGTGTGGGTGCAAGATCAACACTCTGATTGTCCGTGCACCGCCTGTTCCTGCTTTTCATACTTGTCAGCTTGCACAGTGCCTAGAGCAGAGGTGACCTGGAAAGCACACTGCTCAGCAGTGCCTCCTTTAGCAGTGGCTCCTGTAATTATTTTTACAGCCGTGCTTAGGAGTGCACAAGCTGTTAGGTCACACCAAGAAGGTACATCTTGTTCAGTGTTCTATCTCTGGCATGAAAAGGTAGTGAATGCACATAAAATAAGCATAAGGAGAAGATGCCAGGCACAGCCAATCTTTCCCACCTATGAGCTGTTCAAAAAACTCCTGAAATGGAAATTTTGAAGGTAAAACTCATGCAGTATAATGAAACCACAATCATGATTTCATCACTGGTTCAGGGTTTTTTTTGGTGAGTGGAGGTATATTTTCACAGCCTGGTCCTCCAACAGGGTGAAAAAATGCATTTGCATTGTTATTATTACAAAAATGCTGCAGCTAACAAAGAATTTCTGCAGCAAAAGAGGTTCTACTGCACAGAAGGAAATTTGTTTGGCTTGTTTACGTACAAGAAAAAAAGCAAGGGAGCAATATTTACATAATAAGGAGCAGTGAAGTCCCAAGGAGCCTTGTCACAATTTATAAATATATTTAAAGGTAACACCATAAATATAGAAAAGGAATGACATACATTTGCTACTAATGCTTTGCAGGAAAGTAGAAAAGCAGCAAGAAACAAAGGAAAAACAATTTAACCATGAAAGCAAAATGATAGTGCAGTGGAGGCAGCAGTACTTGATGATTGCTACCTAGAAACAGAAAAATTAGATCAGCCTGATATTTAAATTCATATGTCAAACCTAGTCTTTTTTTTTTTCCTTTTAATACCAGTTGATCTAACAGACTTTACTCTTAGTTGTTTATAATATATATAAATTTTTTGGGTCTTATTATGTTGTTTCAGGACATTGTCAAGACAGCTTGACATATTCTAGCTCATTTAGTACAGTTGTACTAAGGTACCTAACAGAAAGACTGTTTTTTCTAAACACCCCGGTGGGGAGATGCATGAAATGAAACCTAAGGAATCAGATATCCTCAGTTTTCCATTAGTCTGCTAAATCACAGGAAGTCTGATAAGAATTATTGATCTATAATCCATTGTCTGCCAGGAGCCCTGAGGTTTCCTAGGTCCAGTTCTCTCTGTGGAAATGTTCTGTGCCTTCATTTTCTGAAGGATGATTTTCAAACCCCTTTTCACAAAAAGAACCCAGAACAGGTGAAGGTTGGAGAGGCGTCTCTATAGCTCCCTGGATGCTTTATCCTCATTGGACTTGTCCAATGATATATGTAGCTCTCTTTAACCACTGAAAACCACTTTTTTTTTTTTTTTATGAAGTAAATGTTACACACTACAGCAACACAAATTAAATGTGTCTTTGCCTCCTGTACCTGATGGAGAAACCAGAGTGACATGCAGATCACCTCTACGGGAATACTCAATCGTTGCCTCGAGCTGCACATGCTCCAGAGATGCAATGGAGTTCTCTTGACCCTCGCAGGCTTTTGTGGGAATTTCAATAATGACTTCTTCATTTGCTCTTAATAATCTGTCAAAATTAAAGTAGTTTTTTTTATTACCCACAGGAACTCTTGATTCTGGGTCATGAATGGCACGTTTAACAGCCATTTCAGAAAGGTGAGAAAGGAAGAGTCAATGCCAGCTCAATAAAAAAAGGTAATGCCTGCTGTTCATGGTCTGTGCAGAGAGAGACTGCATAGCTTTCTTTGCACAGTTCCCATTACTTCCAAATAGAATGGGTATCTAAATCTCCACATAAATAATTCTAAGCTCAGTATCATGGGATCTTTGTTTTCATAATGTAACATGCAGGACTGCAATAAAAATACATAAAGAGCAAGTGTGGCATACATCAGTAGTGGGCCAACATCCTGTGAAACACAGTCCATAAAAACAATTTGATAGTGAAATAGCATAAATAATAAGATTGCCAAGCAGTGACTCTCCAAAACACTGCAATATGTTTCTGCAGACAGACCTTTGTTGCATTCATATGGTATAATTTCAGCCTTTGAAATAGATAATTTTTTCTGTATAAAAATCCGTATGCGAACATGTAGAGACAAAGAGTCTAGATATCCTTATTGATTAACCAGCTCAATGACTAATGATAATTAATCTCTCTGTTCAGGCTCGCTTTGCTGTTGGCACGTGGATCATAAGACTTTTCAGTGAGCCTTTGACACACTTGTGTTTTGTAAGAGAAATGCTGCAGACATTACTAAAGTTCAATATATCACCTTGATTACAACATACACAAGCCTGTCACAGGAGAAGAATTGCTTACACCCATTACAGACACTTTTATTTTTAAAACATCTTTGTGAGACATCAGTATCTTTTTATCTGTCTTCTGATGGTTTTCTAAAAATTTACAGCCTTGCTGATTGGGCTCAGCCTCACAGTATCATTCTTTTATACACTGTCTGCACAAGCAGACATAATAATCTTAGTCTTTGTTAAGGCTTCATGCTAGTAATTTCCATCAGTCTTACACTAAAAAAAACAAACCAGGAAGCAAAGCTGCTAGCTTGCCTCTGGGGACTACAGTCTGGCAAAACTAAATGAATAAAAAGAAGTCCCTTATTCCTCTTCAGAGTAATCTGTGAAGAATATGATCCTTCAGGCTTTATTACAATGGGCACCAGCTTGGTAACTGGTAATGCAAATCCTTACCTGGGTTCAAAGCTCTTGTCTTTGACAATACACTCTCTCTTTTCTGGTACACTTTTCCATCTCTTGGGATCAGCTAAATCCACCAAGGCATTGGCGTTGAGTAGCCCAAACCCAAATCGGCTGTTGACCATCAGTCCTGCTCCATTTTTTTTCCATCCTGGATTTCCAGCCAGTGGATCATATTCTGAGGTCCACACTACCAAGTGCTGCATATCCCTCCACGTTAGATCTGGGCTGTTTGGAAAATGTTCCTGGTTAGTTGTTTCAGGGCTATCTGTCATTTTTCTATCAATTATTAAACTGAAACAGAACGTGCTTTGAATGCATACGGCATCCCACTGTTTTACAACACACAGCAGGTTGCACTTATCCTCACAATACTTCTCTGGGCAGACAAGATTTCTGTGTCCATGAAGAACAGGTATCCAGCAAGAATAGAGTCCAATCCTCCAAAACAATTCAGGCATTTTTAGTTAGCTAGTGGGACTAGAATTTCCCACCCATCTTTTTAGAACCTCTGTATTTGATTCCATCTGTGACGCAGTCTACCCTTTAAAAGATCTAATTTTTAATATCTAATATTTAATATAGGCTCCTGTCACCAAAGGGGTGTGCAGTAGAAAATGGAGCTGAATCTACAAGATACAAGCATTGAACTTATGCACTACTGCCTAAAGTGTTTTCTGTGGAAAAAAGTCATTGTCCTGCTCTTTCTTAGCTTCTCCAAGGCCTAAATTCTGACTACCTGCCCCACAGGATCCAAACCTGGCTGCTCCCTGCCTGCTCTGACAGACAGACTTGGGCCCCTTCTCTTTTATGCCTCATCACTGGCAGAAATGCTCCTGCAAATTGGTTGAGGCTTAACTTAAACTCCTGCAGCCTATTGTCTTCAAATCACATTCTCCTGAATCCCTGTGCACACTCACTTTTAGGTGCATCTAACCATGAATCAGTAAATGCTGTTGCCAACCCACAAAATATTCCTCAGTCATCATGATTTATTCACATTGGTCCTGCTTTTCTAGGAAGGTGTTGGGGCAAGTAGCTGCTCATTTTTAGTCATCAGCCTGAGCAAGTCTGACAAAAAGTGGAGCTGCAGTATGAGGTAGTGCCTCTTAAAGCAGGCATTTTGGGGAAGGCAGTGAGGGAAAGAAGTTTCAAAGGTTGTGGTGTGACATCTTACTTTGCTTCCAGCGCCAGAGCAAAAATTCCTGCTGCCAGAGGTGCAGATGCAGAGGTCCCTGTGTGAGTTTCTGTACATTCATTGTGCAGATCAACACTTGTCTGACAGAAAATTAAAAAAAAAAAAAAAAAAAAAAAAACAAACAAACCAAACCAAACCAAGCCAAAGCATATAAAATAAAATAAAAACCAAAGAAAAAGCCAAAAAAGCATAAATAAACAGTTGTAAATACTGTTGTATCCATACTCACAAATGTAACTATGTGCCCCTTACTTGGTGCGTATTAATACACTCCTCACCAGCAAAAAAAGTGATGAGTTTTTAAATCTGTTCATATTTCAATCCACTCTTTTTACTTCAACTATAATTTTAGTATCAAAACGTTTTTTGTTGGAACAAAATACTCCCACTCTGAATATCTTATTTTAGTCTAAAGGTTTCACAATAAGTGTTTCAGGCTTACTGGTGATTCATGAAAACAGATCATTGTGTTGGGCCTAGAACATTCAAAATTACTGCTTACTAGGAAATCACTCATAGGATTAGCATTGGTGTTCTGCTCCCTCTTCAGCAGAAGAACTATAATTTGTAATGAATAAACACCAAACTCATCAGCCCATTTATCTAAATCTCGACTATAAAGAGAAGCCACAGAGTAAGGACTGATCTCCAGGCTAACTTGGAATGACACTCTTTTAATCCCCATCAGTGCAGTGTGTTGTAAAATTAGCATCCACTAGGGCTGGACAGAAATTACAGGTATTTCAGCATTATTGTGCCACGGCAATTTTCTTCAGCACAATTAAGGAAGGCACACAGACTGGTATGCCTGCTTGCCGAGTTTGGAAGGTTTGGAGGCACTGTCGCTGCTGTTTCCTGTCTTCAAAAATATAAGACAAGGTATTACAGTGGCCCTGACATCACAGGTTTTCTTTTTACTCTCAATCTCTCTTCATTTGCCCTTTGTGAAGAATGGTGCCATATCAACGCATGCAGAGACCACTTTCATGCACAAATAGTGCTCACAAACCGCAGACAAATTCAGCAGGTTTATTTAACTGCATTGACACAATGATTTTGTTTAATCATTGCTTTAAGGTAGAAGAATAGAAGAACACAATCCCTTTTTGGATTACAAATCCCTTAAAGTTTTCAGACAAAAGCACTAAGCACATAACACAAAGCAGGCACTCTAAACCAAGCATTTAAAAGGTTTGTTTATTATTTGCATATATCATACCTTTCTATTTGTTCTGAAACTGGTAAAAGCAACTTACAATTCTTTGGTCAGTATAATCCCCGCTGCTGTATGCTGTGGCCAGAGTTGAAGAGCACTTCTCTGCATACCAGGGAGAAAGCCCTTGCTGAGAAGCACTGCTAATGGAGATGGTGTAGATGCTATCAGTGTAACCATCACAGTCACAGTTGCCACCCTGACGACCTCCGTTCCCTGAAGCCCACACGAAAATATAGCCTTTCCCATTTCGTCCCTAGGGGGGAAAAAAAAAAAAAAAAAAAAAAAAAAAGAAATAATGAATGATTATCAAAGAGATTTCGGATCTCACAATGTATCCTTAAAACTCCTTTCCCCCAAAAGCCTAATATAGCAAACATAGGAGAGGAGCAATTTCCATAAGCACTGTAGGAGACAGAGACAGAATAAACCAGCTGTTTGTGATACCCTACTGCTCACCCCACAGCACAACTCTTAGACTCACTGGCCTAGGTTTAGTGTTCCTGATACAGCAGCTTTCCTCAGGTTTTCAAGTTAAAAACAGTCTGTGTTCAATGAGTAAATTTTTCCACATGTTGCTGTTTGATCCTCACTATATCTAGAAAAAGAATTTGCCTTTAAAAAAAATCCGCAAGTTTGTCTGGGGTTATTTAATTTTCGTTTCCTGTGCTCACAGAGGTATGGGTGAGGAGTATAAGTGATGCATACACTGAAAACCCTCCCTTCTCTAACAGATCCGTGGGTCAGCATCACCAGCCTCCAGGTATAGCCATGTAAAACATCACAGCTATCACAGAGGAAACATGCATCACTGTGCATTCTTAAGCTCTACTCGTTCTTCAGCAGAAAAGAATATGTTTCATGTGACAAGCAAAATTGTATGTGTTGTTCATTATTAATATAGGCACATTTAATATTCCACAGCAGTTGCAATACATTTTTTTTTTATCATTCCACTCAGGTGAGGTTTGAAGTTATTTATGCAAATGATATTTGCAGCACTTAAAACATGAAAAGCAAAGAGAAATAAGATGTACTCTGTGAAATAGGTTTTAAATCTGGAAAGACAATCCACATCAACTACAGAAAATCATATAGCATCTTTGAGAGCAAAGGCTGCAGTCCAAAAAAGCACTGGTGTATCCCAGCACCTGCTCTGATTCCACTTAGAGTGATGGCAACTCTTCCTTGGTTCTTCAGGTTAAGGCTGTGCTCAGGTGCTTCACCTGAGCAGCAGTGAAGATCCAGGGAATATTTTTTTTTTTTTAATCATTCCACTCAGGTGAAATTTGAAGTTATTTATGCAAATGATAAGATATTTGCAGCACTTAAACCATGAAAAGCAAAGAGAAATAAGATGTACTCTGTGAAATAGGTTTTAAATCTGGAAAGACAATCCACATCAACTACAGAAAATCATATAGCATCTTTGAGAGCAAAGGCTGCAGTCCAGAAAAGCACTGGTGTATCCCAGCACCTGCTCTGATTCCACTTAGAGTGATGGCAACTCTTCCTTGGTTCTTCAGGTTAAGGCTGTGCTCAGGTGCTTCACCTGAGCAGCAGTGAAGATCCAGGGAATAGAGCTGTTGTCAATCCCAGCACTGGCTGACTCTAAGCAGAATGGAAACCACACAGACCTTTGCAAAAGGAATCCTTGAATCCTGAGAGACAAATGGGTAAATTTGTTCCCCATTAGAAATAAAACAAGCTGCAGAAAAAGATATATTCTCCACCAAAGACCCTGCCTTTTCAGGGTAAGACAAATTAATATTTGTGCCTAATTTTCACTTTTCTGCAGAAAAATATATATTCTCCACCAAAGACCCTGCCTTTTCAGAGTAAGACCAATTAATATTTGTTGCCTAATTTTCACCTTAAATTCTCCCTCTGCTCTTGCTACCTACCTATAGGCATATAACCTGTTACAAGCTCTCTCCTCTGTCTCCATTATTCCCTCATATTGTCTTTTTCAGCTGTCAGCATTTAAATTGTTCTCTCTTTTTCTCCTTCTGCCTACTGATGTTAATTGACCTTTATCCAAAATATTCTTTTTCTTTGTCCTTCAAGCTATTTCTCTCTTCTCCCCTCTATGCTTCAGTCTTCCTCTCTTTATTGTACCTGTCCATCTTTAGATATCTTTTCACCTCACTGGCAAGAGCTAGAATAGTTTATTAATAAGTTCATGGCAGCTCTCGGTTTCCACCCTATTTATCACCCAACAGATCCAAGGAGTGTAACATGAAAAAAGGAAACCCATAAAAATATTGCTCCCAGTATTCCTCATCATGCATTTGTACTATTTCCATTTTAATTGGATCGTGACATGCACCAATTTATAAATTAATGCAATTAGCACAATACAAGCTCATCCACAGGGTGCTAAAATGCATCACTATTTCACACAGCAAAATATTCATGAAGCAGAAATTTTGTATTAAATTTTATGGGCTTTCAGTGCAGAAATCCAATTACTGTTCAGTGTAAAACAAGCAGCAGAGAAGGGTGGGTGTAGGGTGAGACCAAGACAGCAAAATTAAGATGTAAAAAAAAAGCTTATCCATGGAGACTAGCAATTAAAAACCAGTTTAGAAAGCCCTGATGGTGTTTCCTCAAAGTCCTTTCTGGCTGGAAATTTCTCTCACCTGCACTATTAAAATACATTGTGCCCATTCAAATGTATTTGAGCAAAGACAGCACAAACCATTTTCATTTTTTCTCTGGTATCAACCATTCTAAAACTCTCTTCTCCGCCAAATTTTTTGCTTTATATTTCCCTGAAGTACCATACCTGGTTTATCCCATACTCGAAAGCCTTCTGGGCCAGTCTCCCAGGTCCCTCCACAGTTTTGCCATCATCATTGGGGCCCCAGCTTGCACTGTAAATATCCACATGTTCTGGATTGAAACCGATTGAACTGGCCTCAATAGCGTCGGTGACTATTCCATCCAGCATTCGGATACCTTCACAGGGGAATAAAAAAAGAGAAGCAGACTGGATTTACTTTCTGTTCCCTCCTCCCTGTCTTAGTTAACTGTTTTTAATGTTTCCAGTAAAATTAAGCCATAACTACTGCAACCTCAGCTGACTACTGCTCAAGTAAAAAGTACTGAAGAAAACTCCTGTCAGTGTAAAACAGTACAATTAGACTTTATATACAAAGCTCAGTGTTCCTCTACAAAAATAATTTTAAAAACCCTTAAAATCTCTTTAGCCTCCTATTTATTCTTTTCTCTCCTTCTACAGAGACCAAAGAAGATGTCTTGCTTACTGTTCCTGTTTTTTACTTATTGCATTCTCTTTCTTCCTCCTTCTTCTCTCTTAGATCTGCAACAAAGACTTCTCAAACTGCTGAAATGCCACTGAAATTAAATAGGTTTTACCAACATTACTTTTATCTGTAAGAGTTCTAAGAGTTTTAGTTCAAAGATGTAGTTCTGAGTGTTCTGACCAAAGCACTTGTTCCTAACAGTCATTAAAGGTTTTGCTGTCTCTGTGACACTGCAATTTCACCAGTTCTTCAATCTCCATCACAGAAAAAGGAAAAAAAAAAAACCTCACTGTTTTTCTACTGCCACTTTTTTTTCTGCTGTGAGCAATGCAGAGATATCTAGTCATTAACAATTTATTAGGAGCTGCATGATCTAATCTCCTTCAGAGCAAGCCTGAACTCAGTGGTACTTAAAATTCAGGTGCAGGCAGTGGTTCATCTGCACTGGTTCCTTTGCTATGCAAAGCCACAGCTCTGCAGTGGGGCTGCTACTACTGTCCAATGCTGGAAGACAGCAGAAAAAGGAGAAATCTGGCAAAATTCCCACTGTGGCATGGCTCTTACAACAACAGCAGCAATAGAAGAGTCACCTCAGTCAGGATTCAGCCTGTGTTTACAAGCAATAAAAATGTCTGGGTTCCCTTGGATTTGGCAGGTTAGTACTACAGCAGCTCCACCATTGCTGGCAGCTGGTGAATTATGACTACTCATTTTCTAGTATTTTTCATAAAATGGAGATTTTGCCAAAGCACAGCAGGCAAAATGTAGTCATTCTATTAAAAAAAAAAATACCCAAAGATACCCAACAACAAAAAACCTCCCACCTTACCCTTGCAGCTCAGTGTCTTGTTCTTTTTTTTTATCCTATCAAGCAGAGGAAAAAAAGACTGCAAGCATAATTATTTTCCTGAATGGCTGACCCCTTAATACTCTTAATACCTCCGAGATAAAGCTGAGCTTTATTATTTCATATTCATTAGTGCTAAAATCAGACAAAGGAGTTAATCCGCTCTACCACAGCTGCTCCGCTATCACTCACAAAGCTGGGAAAAGCACCAAGGTATATCCTGTGCCTCAGGTACTAAAAACACCACTTACCCAGGCTTGTCTTAAACTGAGACTGGTTTCATTACTCTTTTTTTTTTTTTTTCTGTTAGCTCAGAATTTCCAGATTCTCTCATGCCAGCAAAGATCTGCCTATGTGAAAGCGATTGCAAGCCGCAGGTGAGAGCTTGCAACACATAATGAGATAGTGGGAATGTGAGGAGTAATGTGCACATTCTTCCCACAGAAAAAGACAAGTCTGCAGATTAATAATGTAATAAGGGGAAAACAAAACAAAATAAAAACCGAAAAACCCCCAAGAACAACGACTCCACACTGATGAAAACAGCTCAAGGAAAAAATCACTGCCTTGCCTTCCTGATCGTCAGAAATCCTGATTGCTCAAGTCAACTCAGGGATTTGATGACTGCAGTGATATTCCCGTAAGCAGATTCCAATTACATCCTCTTGCATAAACTCTTTTCTATTCTTGCTCCCATCATCAGTCCCACAAAATCAAAAATAGACAAAGCCCAAGGTAATTTCAGACACACATATATGTATCTGCTTGGCAGAAGGGCTATTTTTAGCAAAACGTCACGGTGCATGAACTCTCAGCCCAGTCCTTTGTAAAATGGAGCTTCTTAATAATTTAATTTCCATGGCAGCACCATGGAAATATCATAACACAGTGGTAGAGTCAGGTATGCACGAAAATACACATACCCTGATTTATACCAGAGGTGATCGATACACATTTCTCAGCTCTACAAAGACCAAGAGGTGAATGTTAAAGGGCGCTGAAAGGTGTCACTTTGAAAACTGGCATGAAGAGTATTTTTTCTTCACACAGTGCACAGGGAAGCCCATGGTACTCACAGCCACAAAGTGCTGGAGAGGCCAGTCAATGTTGCAGAACAGGGCCAGGCATTTGATGTGACTGGAGGGAACACTCAGGATTGTTAAACTCAGTACTTTCACAGAAACCAAACAACAAAAATATCAATGGGATGTTTTGTTTTACCCCTCAAGGCAAAGTTAAATCAAAATGTGATGCTGAAGGTTGGAGAGCAAGGTATTCCACATTGTCAGGGTTTCTTTCCCTGAAGCAGAGATTGCTGACCGTCAAAGAGAAGGCACTGGCTGTGGACCACTGGATTTGTCCAATATGGCAACTGCTACAAGCAAACAGCCACTTAAGGAAGTCATCCTGAACTAATGTCAAGTAGAAGTGTGCAATGTGTCATTTCATGGATTTAAAAGAAAAAAAAAGACAAAAAACAGCCTCTGGAGAAATGAATCCTATAGAACTGGGATCATCAAAAAAGCTTCCAGCATTTAGCCACTCCAAATTTATCTGAGTCTTTTGAAGACTTCTCTTATCTTCCACTGCTCTTTGAACATATTTTTCTTACACCCCTGTCTGGGTGTTAATCAGTCTGGTCACATCTAACAGCCTACAATTTCTTTCAACTTTTCCATTCTTCCTCCTCCCCCACCCGAGTGTATGCTGCTTGCTGGGTAATATGGATTGCTGGACTGCTTTCCCTACTGTTATTTCCCTTTTCCAGATAAATCATCCCGCATAGATCTGTAGTTTGCATTTGCAAATGAGCACAGATCACATGCAAATAGCTGTGGAAGAACCTCCTCTGTAGATGCAAGAGCCTTAAAATATGGGCACAGTGGGAGTTCAGACATCTTTGCAGCTTCATCCATTTTGCCTTCCTTTGAAAATCTGACGTCTTCATATTATGAGTGAGATATTTTATTTAAACAGATCATGACAGCATGATGCATTATGGCAATGGCAACCTGCAAAGCTGACATCCATGACAGCTCAGTGGAGTAACTGGGAGCCGACAAAACACCACGCTGAAATGGTGGGAACGACAGTTACGGGTGTCAATTGCCACCCGTCATTTAAAAGGAAAAAGAGGGAATAATGGAAAAAGAAGGACTGTACAAATAACTTCCTCGGAGCTAAATAACCATTTGCAACTGATACTTGCATCATGATTACTTAATAATCAGCAACTAACAGATTACACTGATTAAAAAACAAAAGTACGATATTGATTGATGGGCAAGAAAGACTTTACTTTTTTTCAAATTTAACTTGTGGTGACAGTCGAGAAGGAAGGTGTTGAAACAAAAAGGACAGCAGTTTGCATGACTTGACTGACATGGTCTTTAGAATGTGGTTGTGTAAATGGAAACAATATGCTGCAAATATTGATGGGTATAGTTTTGTGTACTCCTACTTTCACTCTACTCAATCCCTCTCCTTCCCTGGATAAACAGTAATAAGTAATTAGTCCTTCATTCCTTAAAAGATACTGTCTTAACTCTAGGTAAGGTGTAAGTTGTTGCTATCATTGTTGTTGTTGTTAATGTTATTAATTTTTGTTAAATTTGCTGTTGTTACATATTCTATCTATCTACCTATCTATCTATTCATAACCAAATTGCAGACTTCATTAAAGAAATTCTGTCATGTACAGGTGTCACTCAGCACTGTTTTTAGACAGGATTTTGAAGCTTATAATACTGGAAAATAAATGCTTTCCGAGAATGACCAATCATTCAGTTTTCAGATTAATGGTATCTGGCAGCTCTCAGCATTTGTCTTGTTTCCATTCATATTAGAAATCTAATTATTTTTGTTTCCTTACCTCCAACCCTGGAGTTGTAGGCTACTCCAACTCCGCATTTTCTGTTGTTGGCTTGCATGGCAATTTCCCCAGCACACCGTGTCCCATGCCTGAATAAATACGGCAAGAATAAAGAACACATGATAGCACCTTTGTTGTATTGTTCAGAAAGACTCATCAAGGACCTTGATTTGTTCAAATTCTTCCTTTCAATTAATGCAATGCAATTATTGAAGAGCTTTTGAGTTGTATCTACACAACAAAAAATACTTATTTCTCCAAAGCTTCATTAAATATAATTTTACCTACTTTTAGCTCAAAGGAACATTTCCATGAGATGATAAATGTTTTCTTTAATCTTACTGCAGATATCAGTATTTTAGTGCAGTGAAAAAGTGGCATAAAATTATGGGCCTAAGAAGCTGTCTTCAGACAGAAAGATGATACAAATATTTTTTTATCTCATGTTTAGATACTTACTTTCTAAATGACTGCATTTATTTAGGATTTCAGAAAGTGAGCCTTTAAAATGTCCCTGTTTTTTCTATTCAATTATTTTCTTTTTCCATGGATGATTCTAATTCCTCACTACAGAAAGCCTTCCTATAAAAGTCTCAAGGTAAGAACATTGCATTATGTAATGCTGCAGATTGTTATTCAGTGACATGCTTCAGTGCTTCTGGGCTGAATTCCATTTACTTATTAATAAAGATTAGAGACAATACAGGTAGATTTAAGAGATAATGACATCATAACAAGAAGATAATGGCTTCTTTCTCTAAAACAATACTGTAACAAAGTAGAAATGCCATTTTTCAAATGTCTTATTCGTGGATATATTATCCTCAGACTGATCTTTCTTTTTTCCCTCACACAGTGATTTATGTTGTGAATCCTACTGTATTGTCTGATAGGAAACAGGGAACCAATGCATCAGTTTCTTGCTATCTGTACTGAGTAGTGGCATTCTAATTTGTTTAAGAAATTGACTGTTTTGCGTACCAGCTTCTAGGGAGGCCCCTCCTATTCTCTTTCTTATGGACAAAATCCATAATTGGACTATGATGGATTTGCCCAGGTCTGACAGACTCATCTAGAGACCTTTTTTTTTTTATTTCTTTTTTAGATTCCCAGAGCAAAGCAGAGAATTGAAGTAAAAATATACTTTGGGAGCTATCATTCCAGAAACACACAGAAACACAAGAATACATTATTCCTTTCACCTTGCAGAAATACCTCAGCACCTTACACGCGACATGAAGAAATTCAAGACATCACAGGGAGATTACAATTATGAAGTTCTTCATCTGGGAGTTTTATCCCCATGTTTACATCAATGTTATGTGAGAATGCTCCTGCAAAGTGGAACACAGGAGGCTCCTTCTGAACATCCAATAGTGATTCTTTACATTGAGGGCAACTGAGCGCTGCCACATGTTGCCCAGGGAGGTTGTGGCCTCTCCCTCCTTGGAAGTTTTCCAAAGCCATCCTGGTCATCCTGGGCAGCAGGCTCTAGAGCTCCCTGCTTGAGCAGATGACCTTCATAAGTCCCTTCCAAGCTCAACCATGCAGTGATTCTCTTACACAAATTCTTCCTCTTATAAAATAATTGCCACAGTACACCCACAGAGAAATTTCTCCACTTGTATCTTCTAACACACAAGCTAACACTTTGATGCTTTGTTCTCTTCAGACAGCTGTGAAGCTACTCACTTGTTTTCATTTGTTGGGTCATATCTAGGAAAGGGATCAGGATCATTGTCATTGAAATCATAACTTGCCTTTGGGTCCTACATAAAAAAAAAAAAAAAAAAAAAAAAAAAAAAAAAAAAAAAAAAAAAAAAAAAAAAAAAGCAGAATGAATTCCAACAGCTAGAAAAGGCATTTCTAAATTGCTAACAAAATGGGTTGTGAGTCTATTTATTTACTCATACTGGCAGCAATCAAGCTGGTAGAATTTGCTGGCCATTAACAATTCCATAACTTTTTCATGGAGCTTTAATAATTTAGCATTAAACTGCTACAGAAAAATGTGTCTGGGAACTAAATTTACTGAAGGAAAAACAAAACAACAAAATATCTGCCCCTCTACCATTGCTAAGGGACATTCAGCTTCCTGTGACACAGACCAGGATCCAAATCATGCCTAAGGCAAGTATTTCAGTTTCTCTACTGCAGGAGCTGACTTGCAGAACAGACAATGAGCTGGGGAAGAGTGTCTGCTTATCAAATTTACAACTGGTTAATCTATTCCATAGCATTCTAATGCTCAAACTTACATAGTTAGCATAGATGTCAGTGTGATTCCACTCCAATCCATCGTCTAGGACTGTGATGACAACTCCCTTGCCGGTGAATCCTTTCTGCCACACAGGAATAACATGGAGATCCAGTTTGGGCAGGGATGGAGTAATTCTTGTGTCTTGCTGTGGGACAGAATGGATTCAGATATAGCAGCATTTTATCCATTTATACCAAACAGGTCCAAAGTCATATTCTAAAGATGCTGGAAACAATCTCAGCCAGAACTTGTGTATTTCGCTCAAATTTTGCAAAAACAAAACAAAAATTAATTTAATCAAATACTTGGGGGACTGAAAAATTTACCCCACCGCTTGAATATCCCTGAAGACCACTTCTGAATAGAAAACATCTTGTATTTTTGGTAATTAGGCAGCAGAAAGCGAAAGGAGTTTAATTTGGTAATTAGGCAGTGGAGATGCACTGATGGACCTTGGAACACTGGGTTAATAATCAGACCTGGGAATGTTTGTTCTTTCCATTTGATGAGGAGCCAAGACAGTGCCTGCAGTGCAGTGAGCTGGATTCCCTCCAAATGTATTTTCTCCTTGGTCATTAAAGTTAGCCAGAGCAAAATAATTAATGGGTAAAACAATTAAGGTAGTTGTTTGGTTGGGAACAACTGTGTTGAATCACAATTTTCTCTTTACTACCCTCATTGCTGTTCCTGTGGTAAATCAGCTGGAAGTATGAATCATGGATACCTTTCTCTTCTGCAGCAAGTTTTTTGAAGAGTATCTCTTAAATGGGTCCTTTTCCCCCTCAAATACTAAAGGAGCAGTACATACATCTAATTTAGAAAATGTGCTTACAGCCCCCATAAAAGCAGGGATGTAAAAAGAAGCATGTTCTTTCTGTTTCTCTGTGCACAATCACATTGGCTGATGGCAGGTTTTCTGTATGTCTTTATTTCCAAATAAATACTGCATAAAATACAAGGTTTAGGAAAATAAATTTGTTATGGGGATGAAATTTCTTTATATTTTGCTATCTCTATCTGACTGCTTCCATTCAGGAAATTATTTGAGATTTCAAGCTTTGTTCTCTTTTATCCATCAAATAATATTTTTTCCTGGTGATGTGTGAAGGTACACAGGATAGAGCTAAAACTGTTGCCATCAAATCATAAAAATAAGGTAATAATCAGTTATTCACTACAAGGCAAAGAAGATATTTTGGAAGAAAATGTCTAACACTTATGCATTTAATCAGAAAAATTCAATGTTCATTGAACAAGGCTAAGCAGTATGTTTTTGTTTCTCATGTGTGAAAACTAGAGGGAAAAGTAGTGAAAACCATAAGTAAGTGGGAAAAGGAACTAAATCTCCTGGAGAGCAGAACATTGACATGTTTTTTTCCCCTGACTGCTTTTATGAATCATGTGTGTGTTTGTGTATTTGTCTAATATAGACATCAGGAAATGTCCTGCTTTTTTGGATACAGGCAAGGAAGCAAACAGACATTCTGGATCAAAGAAAAGTTAAATTCTTACAGATAACAATATTTTTTTTCTGTTCAAAATAAGTCTGCAGGAGTTTTCATGGAAATATTTTATGCTATGTGGTTCATAATTCATCTTCCCTAGCTCAAAAGAAGGGAAGCAATCTAGAGTTTGGTATGATTTCTCTGAGATGAACTGAGGAAAAGTATTTCCAGCCACTCAGGCCCCATTTGTGCTTGACCTTTCTTTCTGATTTGTTATACCTACCTTTAATCCCATCCCTATTCTGAGTGGAAGCAATGAATCCTAGACTGAAGGTACTGAAAGTAGCTAGGTGCACAATGGAAACACAGGCTTTTGGAAGAAACCATGTAAAATCTAAATGATTGACTGTATTTCTCATTTGACACATGCAGACAGAAACTGTGGAGCTCAGGAATTTTTTTTCCTTGAGGTTTTGAGCATGTGAGTGATCTTTAGAGACCCTCTAATATATAAATCATAGTCCATATGGCTGAAGGTGCTTGTCACATGCATGCAGATGCAGATCTGGTGTATGTATTCTGCACTACCAATTTTAATGAAGAAATAGATGGCCAGCTTCAGATACGGTAATGGGCTTCTTACACAAAAAACTTTGAATATTTGAAAATTATCTTTTAAGTGGTTTTTAGCTGTTAACAATTTGTGATATCATCCCCCTCCCCCATATTAAATAGCAGCTGAATTGGCATCTAGAATCTTTGTAGAAGTGACATTCCATGGAAGAGAGAAAGCTGCCTCTGTTGTGCACAAAGATCACTCATTTTTACAGCATACACTAAGGAAAGGGACTCTTCATTTATTCCCCTTGGTGCAATCCCTCTGATACTGGTAAAAAAATGCAGCTGATGGCACAGTCACCTTCCCTCGTTCCACAGGGCAACAAATTCTTACCAGATACCACTGCTGATTCCACATAGGGTCATTGAAAAGGCTTTCTGCTGAGTCTCTCACGGCGGCACGCTTGGTTCGCTTTTTTTCGTACTGCTGCTCTGCCCATGACACCTGCGATTATTTGCAAAAATATCACGAGTGAACCTGTTCAATTTGGGACTCTCTTAACCTGGAGTATAAGGGCTTTCATCACACAGAGAGATTTTGATTTGATGCCTAAAGCAAAATGAGCAACATTCAGTACAGAGAAGAGGATTATTTAAACTGTAGTCCAGTGAGATTTAGGGAAGAGAACTTTGAGAAATCACAATACTGTAGAATCAATTCACAGAAAGTTATGAAGTACAAGTTAACAAGGAACTCCTGTGAATGACACAAGGAAGGTTTTTACAGCAAATGAAACCATGTAGGTCATCTAAGCAATGGTGCTTACTGAAACAAGGAGTGAATGACACAAGGAAGGTTTTTACAGCAAATGAAACCATGTAGTATGGCCAGAAGGTCATCTAAGTAATGGTGCTTATTGAAAAAAGAGAAACCACAGCCTGCTTCTTTCTCCTACTTATCTTTTATTCATTCTCTATTGGGAGTGAAAAGGAAAGAAGAAAGATTATCTCTGGCTTTAGTCTAGCAATCATAATTATGCTGTTACTCACAGACCAGCTGGGCCTCCAAGTCTCCTTCCTAGTGGTGTTTTGAAGAGTGGTCAATTAGCAAGCTACGAATGTTGGACTAACTTCATCACTGGCATAATTCCACTTAAGGCAACCGAAAGCCAAAATGTTTCAACATGCTTTGATAAAGCAGCACATGGGTTGCACAGCCCCTGTGCACGGACACAGCAGTCTCTAAGGCACTAGGCTGTATTTTAAATGTGTATCGCCCTTGAGTGCATTAGTGAACCCAGTTCAAATGAAATCCTGATGATGATGCCTCCCTCTGTGCTGTGTGCTCTTTTTGGAAAGGGAATAAAACATTATTAGTTGGTCCTTTTATGGTCACTCTGATGCAGACATGGTTGGTCCTTTTCATCCCAAATTCCAAGCAGGCAAAGCAAACTCGGGTTCAGCAAGATTGCCAAGATCCTGTGACAAGCCTCATGTGGAGGGTGCCTTGGATCTAATCTTTTACTTTCAAACTCTGAAAAGATTCTGTTCCTTTTATCTACTGTGATTGAGCAGCTTTATGATCCTGACATCTATCACCATACATGAGATAATAATGACTCAGAAGTTATGATTTAAAAGTATGATTTGATTAAAATGCAATTTTCTAATGAAAGCCTAATGAAAATTCACTACAAGAATATAAATCCCTTAAAATGGTATCTGCATTAGGCATGTTTACTATTCTCTTTGCTATATATTTAGTCCTAAACCCCCTACAAACCTTGGTCATAGAAGATGAATATACCCATGCAAGCTTAGGTATTTTAAACTGCTCTATTGATATCTCAGGCCATACATACTTGTGCACACGTTGGAGCAATTGCCTCTATCTCTCTTCCCTGCCCACAGCAAAGTTTGACCTCTTCACCACCCAACAGTAATTAGCAGTTGACAACTTCCATGCTTGTTATTTCTTTTCATGGTGAGCAAGTGCACTGAAGGGAAAAGAGCTGAAACTCCCAAGCACATATGTCAGGCAAACAAGCAAAGTGTTTGTCACTCTTCAGCTGGGTGAGGTTCCAACCATCCATCTCCAGCAAAAACTGAAGGCCCCATGCCAAATCTCCAATCACTGACACATAAAGCAGTAAAAAAATTCTCAATTCAAATCTACTCACGAGAAAGTAGATTTGGAAACCAGTGCAAATACTAGAAGAAGTTAGGTAACCAGATAATTATATCCCTTCAATGTACTCACAGCCTTTATCTGTTTTACAACAAACACTATAGGAAGCAGATAAATATTCAGATTAGAGCCAAGTTTTACCACAACTTTCACACTTAACATACCGTAAAATTCATGAAGGCGTTATACGAACAAAAACAGGATTCCCTTTTCTCTCTCTTTTTAAAGGTTGAATCTAAATCTTTTTAAGTAGGCTGCTGCTGAACAAGAGCAGCTCTTCAGAGCAAAGGTCCCTGTGTAACCACACAGCACTACATGATTGCTTTGTGTTTATACACTTCCATAATGCATAATTACATCTCATTTATTCATGGAATTAATTTGCATACTGGATGGTAAATAAAATGGAAATTGGAGTAAATTTAGCAAATCACCTGCAGCACTTTGAATCTAAGAATGTAAGGATGCAGTAATGTCTGGTAGCAATATAACACAATCACTTCCATTCTGCTGCAATTTTAGAATGTGATGCATTGAACACTCTCATTCTTCCCCGTGTAAGAGATTCATTTTGTGCAGTAAGCCCAAAAATGAGAGAGACCCAAAACTCTGATCCTGAGCATAGTGCTACGATGACCTAGGACATGTGGTCGTATACCTAGGCATAAATTGGAACTAGTTTAGACTGAATCTGCATGTTTGAACATCCCCATGTTAGGATTATTACTTTAACTGGTAGACCAGTTCCTGTTTGCAAAGAAATAGATGAGATTGTACACTTTTGAAACAAAACAGGCAAAACAAACACCCTGTCTTGCCACACAGAATATTTCCTCCTAGCTGACATTTGCATCTAAAACCTCCAGATAGAAGATTACTCATTCTGAAGTGATTTGTCCTTATATGATAATTTGCTGGTTTTGACAACTAGGTTACTTCATGGTTTGGACAGCTCATATTGTCACAATGATTGTTGCAACAATGCTGATCTTAAAATCAAGTGTTCTTGTTGTGACATTTCCCAGAAGATAGTTTGTAAGAGAGGCTGACAGCTTTCTGGTCTGCTCTTTAAATTTGTCATGCACCTCAGTTTTTCATTATGGTTGCAAACAGAAATGCTTCTCTCTGAAATAAAGCCGGACAAACGAGGGGTTTGCTTCACCAGTGGGTTGTACCTTAGACCCCTCTCCAGTTTGCCTGCTCTCTGATTGCAGTGGCAGATCATTGTAACAAAAGACTGCAAGTCTGGAATGTGTGATGGATCTTTTGAGAAGGGATTTTAGCTTGTTGCAGAAGCCAATCCAACAGAACATCAGCCCTTTATCCCTGCTTCTTTTTTTTTAGTTAATATTCAGTCACTTTAAATCAAACCTAATTCACATGGTAATTGCACAGACGTGGCCTAATTAAACTTAGTGCATCTATGGATTTTTTACTTTGAATCCAGCCCCTTGGTTCCCTGTTCACATTTTCTTCAGTGGCATATCAACATCTGAAATTCTGGAGCTGCACATCTTAAGTCTTAATTTGGAAAGCTCTTGTAAAATATGTGGTGAGGGAGGGTCAGACTCTGCCTGTGAATGACAGGATAGTTAAGTATTATTCAGCACGAGTATGGATGGCTGAATATATTAGACTTGCAAAATGAGGAAGGCTTGCCTGTGACCTCTTTACGAAGCTAGCGGTAAGGAGACAGAATAAAAAAAAAAAAAATTAAAAAGAATGAGTTTAACACTTACCCGCTCATCATCAGAAAGTCTCTTAGTGATATGAATAGCACTTCTTCGGGACCGTCTTGGGTGACTCTTGTGTCTGAATAAGTAGTGGTTTTTCAGTGATCCAATCTGTAAGACACAGGCGTGCTTTAATTATCAGGAAGTATTTCCCCACTGTGAGCAAGTAACAACAATCAAAACCTGAAAGAATTCAAGCTGCCTTAAAGACAAAAGAGCAAGAAACTAGCCTGTAGATATTTTAATCCAAACAGGGAAGCACTCTTCCAGTAACAAGTGCTTCTCTCAGCCTGTGTGCTGCTAGAGGAAGCTGGGGGAGTAATTTCATTTGGGCTCTTCAAGAGCAGTCATTACTACTACAGGACTCAAGTTACACAGCACCGGCACTAATGACCACTACACTCATGGACACACCTTGGCAAGGCCACATTTCGGTGGGCAGGTGGCTCACCGGTTTTATCTGCTTTTCCTGTGTTTCACCTGGACAGGTGTGAAAAGCTTTGCATGGATTCGGACACCTCACTGCGGGGCTGGGTTGTGCAGGCACCCACCGCAGCAGCATTTTCACTTGCTCGATATCCAGCCAGCCACCGGGCAAGCCAGGAGCACCCCGCTGACTTTGAATACCCCACTCTCCTAAGGACGGGCTCTTTGATAGCTGTGGGGACAAATGTACCGGCTACAAAGGCAGAAGGACCAAACCCACACAGGTGGGATCACACCTACGGATTTTGGAGCGCGTTGAACACCGCCGTGCCCCAACGCGGGGCTCGGCCAGAGGGGGCTGCCGGCGGACAGCACCGCTAGCACGGAGCGGGGCTGATCGCGACCCCGACCACGGGGCCGGGCCGGGGCCAGCAGGGTCCCAGCGCTCGGGGACGCCGTGCCCGGCACAGGACCCTCGCCGGGAGGTGAGACGAATGCTGCTCCCTCACGGCGGTTACTCATCCCTGACAACGCTGACGTCACGGCATCCCAAAAAAAGCGCCCGAGGGATGGCTGGAGAGAAGCCCCGCGATGGCGATGGAGCCGGCGGGGCGGAGGCGGCGCGGGGTCGCAGCCGACACCGCCCGTGCTCTCGTCCTCCTGCCCGAACTGCCGGGGGAGAGCCCGGCACCCTGCCCGGTCCCCTGTGGCACGGCGGGGTCGGTCTGCCCGGTCCCCTGAGGCACGGCGGGCGCACGGCCGGTCTCCTGAGGAAGAGCGGCGTGCCCTGCCTGAGTCTGTCCGGTCTCCTCAGGGAGAGCCAGCTGTCCTGCCTGGACCCCTCCAGGGAGAGCCGCACCTCCCGCCCGACCCTGCCCAGTCCCGCCAAGGAGAACGGGAGCGCCCTGCCCGCTCCCGTCAAGGAGAGCCGGAGGTCCCCGCCCGCTCCCCTGAGGAAGAGCCGAGTCGCCCTGCCTCGTCCCCTCCGAGAGAGACATCCCTGGCCGGGCGCCAGGGGCGGACCCGGACCCTGGGAGGCTGCGGTGGGCGACCGAGAGCTTTAAACTCCCCGGAGCCCCGCGGGCGGCAGCCGGACACAAGTTTGAGGGAGAGGGGAGGGAAGGAGCCTCGCGGGATGGGAAAGGTGCCCCGCCGCGGAGTATCCTGCAGAATGCGCGGCGCTCCCCCGCCCGGCCGTACCTGTCCCACCAGGTCGTAGTCCAGCTCGTCCGCGATGGCTCTGGCAGCGTCGGGGCCGGCCGGGATCTCAGCTGCCCACTCGTTGAGGAAGAGCCGCCCGGCGCTGCCTCCTCGGGGCAGGGACCAGGCTGCCAGGAGCACGGCCAGGGCCGCGCACCGGCCGGCCCAGCGCCGCCCGGCCATGGCCGCGGGACGCGGGAGGGAGGCGAGCGGGATGCGGGCGGGATGCGGGCGGGATGCGGCGCCGCGTTGCTGCGCGAGGGGTCGGAGCGGGAGCCCTGCCTGCCTGCCTGCCGGCGCCGCTGCCCGAGGCTCACAGACCCTCCGGAGCCGGAATGGAAATGAGTGTTTACACGTCAAAACGACGACAGCCATCCTGACGTCAAGTGTACCTGGCCCCCGAGCCGGGGGGAGGTGATTCCCGGGGAGGGGGGAGCGCGGAAGCCAGCGGGATGGAGGCGGGGGCGCGGCGGCGAAGCCCGGCGGGTCGGGGGGCCGGGTGGGTGCCGGTGCGCGATGGTTTCCATCATTGCGGGTGAGCCCGAGCAGAGGACCCCGCCCGCCCCCCGCACCCAGCCCGTCGCGGGTGGGTTTTCTGCCCCCAGCCCGCGTCCCCTCTCGCCTCGGTGCGAGGTGAATTTAGCTTTTTTTTGTTCATCTGGGCTTCTAACCCAGTGGGACCCAGCGGGCGGCACAGCACGATTACGGCGCATTGTCCCCCGACACCTGTGACACGCCACAGACGTGCGGCATTAATGGGCACCCTGCCCACCCTGGCGATGGTGGGCAAATATGTTTATCCTCAAATACAGTTATTAATTTCGTACAATTTCTCCTTTAAAAATAATTTCAACTTTTGTTCTATTAATTGCATCCAGTGGTCTGCACGTTGTACTTTTTCAGCAGTTACTTCAATTTGTTAAACACTTATTTGCACATTTTCATTTTGCATCTGAATTTCCCCAGCCCCTTCAGTTTTATTTAACATTCCCTCTACCTTTTCATTGTCTTTCCACGTGCTAGAAAATGCTTCTAAAACTTTCCTGATGTTCTCTAAATGCCCTTTGCCTCAGAAACTGAACCTTTTAGCATCTTCACTTTATGGTGCACTGTATTTCATTTCTTGATTCTTCCAACTTTTTGACTGTAAATTTTAGCAAGCTGGTTTTAGGTCTGTGCTTCAACACTATGCTTCCTTCCATTTGTTATGGAGCGACAGATATGCCTGCCTTGCTCTTCACTGGCTTCTAAAATGGGAAAATAACCAAACCATAAATATGAATCAATGAGGGGAGGAAAATGTTTTAAAAGATCATTGCTTCAATGTCTGACATCTCATTCCCAGACATCACCATGAGAGTGGATATGGTTCTGGGCATCTCCATGGACCCACAGGGATCAGGGGACTGTAATCACTGCCATGGCTCTGCCAGCTGTAAGAGTAGGAGCCTCAAATAACAGGAATATGAATGGATCCATGAGAGGGGGAAAGGGTGAGTGCATAGTAAGTATACTAGAAATGCCAAGAGAATATCAAAGAGAATATCAATAAATATTGATATAGAATAGAACACTGATAAAATGGCACTGGAACACCATCCTGTTGTTCACCCACGTTTGTTTTCTGCAACATGGTGTAACAACAGGTCAAGGTTCACCAAAGCCAAGGCAGCAACCAGGGCACGTGGTTCCTGTTCATTTTAATTCATTTTATTCTCTGCACGATTTTCTCAGTGTTCACTGCCAAAAATGTATTTTCTTCACTTTCCTGGACAGATGCCTTAAAGATCCCTCTGTTCCATTTTTAGAATTGTTTCTGAGGCTTTATTTAAATGTGGCCACCTCACCAAGCAATTTCCGATTCCATGTGGGTTTTTCCTGTATGAGTGTCACCACCAGTGTTCTACTCAAAACACAAACTGCTTTTTTACCTCTCATTTCTCATCACTGACACTGCAAGCTGGCATGGATTTTTTATTGCATTTTGTGTTAAGGAAAATATTGTCTGCAGAAATATTGTCTCCATACAGAAATGAAATCAGAGTTGTATGTACGTATAATGACAATTTATATCCTCAAGTCTTTAAGTAGTAGTCAGAACATATACATCCATAGGAGTGTTTTGAAAGTCTAGGCACTCTTTTCTAAATGATGAATTCATTCAGTTGTTTTTGGTTTCTAAGAAATCCTTCCGTGCAGGATGATGGGCTGTGTACAGAGTTCTGAATTGTGCTGGATAATGAGTCTGTGCTACATGGACTTGGTTGTGTCATCCATTCAGGAAAGATGCTGTCCAATGTACTAAATTCCCATCTAATAATAGCACAATAAATAGGAACAGCTTGCTCAGCAGCATCAGGTGGAGTCAAAGATAATTGTTTTATGCTTCATAAACAATTTAGTCTTGTTGTTTATCAGTGAAATATTTATTTAGTCCCTACTGCACCCAGCGGTATTCTACCCGAGTGTAAGCTCTGAAACAGGGCTGGTTATTAAAATATTATTTCTTTGTAACTTCAGTTTAACGTGAAATTCAAGGTAGACCAGTTTCCAAGGGATCCACATCCCAAAAAGGACCTGGTGCAGAGGTTTTTTCCAGTGGGAATCTTTACATTCCCCAAGCAGAAATATACCCTTTTAGACCTAGTGCAAAATATTCCTTGCACATAGGTAAGACACTTACCAATACAGCATGTAACACTGAGGAGGAAATCCTAAGTTACAAGGGCCAGGAATTTACCTGAGTATGCTTTTCTCCCTTATTGTCAAAAGGCATGCAAGTATTTGAGGTTGTAGCTGTGTTTTTGTACCCACATTTCTGATCCTTCAAAGACTTGTCCATGAAAAAGGGGGACAGGCTGGTTTTCAAAAGCCAGGCACTTACACACAACACCCTATTTCCTTGCCTGATAGAAGACATAACTTATTTAAACCTAGTAATCCTTATTCAAAGTTCAAGTCCATAGTCTCAAGCCCAGCTCTCTGCTGGCTGCCATGGCATCTCTCCAGACATCTGTTCCTGGTGTGGGCATCACTCTCTGCAGCTGGTACCCTGTGGCTTCACCACTTCCACACTGACATCCAACAGACCCATCCCTTCAGCCAGAAGTGTGCAGTGGGGAAAGCTGGAGGAGTTCAGGAGTTTCAGCACCTCTGAGTAGTGGCCAGAGCTCTGTGAAATTTATCTGTTACAGGGTGGGAAGCACAGGCATGAAACTCTGCAAAGCTGTGGATTGAGAAAGCTGTCACAGAAATGGAAGTACCCTAGGAAGGGATAAAGTGAGAAAGATGCTTTTCTTCTTCTTCTTTTTTGTGTATCTTGTAGAAGAAGAGGAACTTCTTGCTGAGGCAATCAAGGAAAGAGCAGAGATAAACAGGAGCAAGACATAAGGAAAACAAAAGTCAGGCAAAAACACTGTGTGTATCTGCAGAAAATTCCAAAGGGTTCAGGAGGATGCCACTGTTTTATCATCTTGTTTTTGTTGCAAGTATGTTTTGGATGAAGAGAGGTATTATGTAATGACATTTTCTTTTAGATCAGTGGCAGTGTAAAAGCCAGACAGGAGATTCATCTCTGATGTCATATCTTGATAAGCCCATTTGATTTTGTCAGATCAAGCCAAGGATATTTTTTCTACCCACAGAGCTTGCTTTCAACATGTAAGCTGAATTTGGGTTAAAATACTGGTAGTCCTTGACGGGTAAACAATAAAACCTCTCCGTGAGAAACCAAAAGAGGTGTTTGGGGAGCAGGAGGAGCATATCCCAAACATGTTATTGAGTCCCTGGACACACTGCTGGGTTGACAGAGAGGGATCAGACCAGGTCTTGACTCTGGGAATCTTCTACCACCGCAGACAACCGAAGCAGAGACTTCTCCTGTCCACTGCAAGAGAGGAAGAGTGATGCAGAGGCAGAGACACATGCTGAAGGGAACAGATCAAAGCAGGGATCAACATTCAGCCCAGTCCTAGAATAAGTATTTTGGCTGCTGGGTATCACCAGCCTTCACCTCTGAAGGGTGGCCCTCCAGCTGTTCAGCCACCTTTCTTTTATTTCTCCTGCAAGTGCATTCACCCAGGAGAACAAAATCTTATTGAAAACCTGTTATGTAAAGGGACCATTGACATTTCTGCCTGTGCCTCATTCCGAAATCTTCCTGGTTTTAACACTGCAAGGCCAGTAGGTCTTACACAGCTGTTGGGAGCTAAACGGGTTTTTTTCAACACAAAACTTCAGGCTGTAAAGTATAAAACCAACCAGGAGTTGATACAATCTCACTGTTTCTATTTGGAGGGTCCAATTTGAGGATGTTAACACCACTCAAATGGCAATTTGTGTTATATGTAGCTTTAATTTGCAAAGTCAGAGCACCACATTTTGAAACAAGAGTAGCTGGAAATGCAGTTTGATGCCTGAAGTGCTTGTGGTGGCTGCTGCAGCTTAATTAGTTAAATACTAAAAAGGGCTGTGCTGCTTTTATTTAATTTGGCCGTGGACCGAAGAACACTCTTGAAACCCACTCTTTTACAGCAACACTATTTCTTTTTCTGCAGGAGCCAGCATTACAAAGCAATTGGAGGACGGCACAAAAGAGGCCATATGTGCAGGCAATCACGGAGGATAAGGGGGAACACCTGTTTTTCCATCAATTACAGCCTGCGAGCTCGCGGGGCGTATTTATTCTGGGGGCATTACATTTGCTTGGCTAATAGCGCATGACACATTTCCAGTTTTACAGCAGACAAGCCCTGAGAAGGAGCTAATCGTGTCTGTACAAATGAAATACAAACATGCCCTCCTGGCCATACACGTGGTTAAACAGGGGCCCTGATGACACCAGGAGCCATCCGGGGCCAGCAGGAAGCAGCTTGTGGCCACCGGGATGGTTCTGTTTGCTCTGCGGCTGAAGCCAGCCCGAGCAAAAAGCCCTGGGAAAATGCATAGGTGGGGCTGCAGGAGAGGTGGATGTCCTCGGGGAAATGGTAATAATCTCTCTATTTGGTAAGGACAAAGTCCAACTCAAGTGTTTTGCTGATGGCAAATAGAAAAAATTGTTATTGGGATTTAAATTTTGAGGGGTTTTTTTTGTTTGTTTGTTTTTTGTTTTGTTTTGTTTTGGTTTGGGTTGGTTTTTTAAATATTGATAGAAGTGAGCAAAGAAAAGAAATATTTTAGGGAAACATTTTATCACCTGTATCTGCAAACCTGACATTTTAAATTTCTTCACACTTATGTGACACTTGCAATAATATTTTATTTATGGTAATGATTTTATTGTCCTGGCTTGCAAGCTCTTCAATAAATCCCTGTAGAA